GCATCCACGAATTAACAATCTCTTTATCGCTGTTTTGATTTTTGCTYCTTTTTTCATCATCTTCCCAAGAATAGTTTTTGATCGCTTGTTTTGCAAGACCAATCTCTYTAGTAGGACTAACCGCTCTCCAAGTGGCTTCGAAGCTAAGTTTTGTAGCGGCGTCGTTTTTGGGGAAAAAGTCTGGGAATAGACTAGCGCCATCATCGAACTCAACGTTCCACCCAGACGTACTTTTTAAATTTCGCATCGTAAATCTTGAACTGGCCGAACGAAAAAAATCATCGCCATCCATGTCTTGAGGAAACTTTGCTTTGAAGAACTCAGACGCGTCGATGTGGTGGTGAGAATATGTTGGAAGGTCGAATCTTTTTTCGATTCTTTTTTCAATTTCATTGCGTTTGTCATGATCCCCTTCTGTCTGAGCATCAGCTGTCATTTCAGCCGAACTTTTCGCAGTAGTTAAGCGAGTGATATTATGTTTAGAAGAGATTTTCTTGACACTTTTAGCTGTCGATTTAGTAGAAGCACTTTTCGAAGATATGGACGTCGTCTTCGTCGTACTGTACGCAGTTCGTGTCGAAGAGCTCGCGGAATAAAATGACGAGCGTCCAAACTTTCCTTTCGTCATAAAACTACTGCTAGTAGAATTATTCCAGGCTTTATCCGCTGCTTCCTGGACTTCAGAGATACGAGAGAAGGCATCTTTATCGAATATGCTCGTTTGTTTCGTTAGTGTTCTCCCAAWGGGTTTGTCTGAAGAAGACGACGCCATCTTGCATTGGACCGAGCGGCATGAACTGTTTATAGCTATATTTTTCTTCTTTTCTTTATACAGACTTCAGAAAAAATTTTCATCTGTGCTCTCGCATTTAAGCATATTGATTTTGACTTGAATATCAATTTGCTTTATATTAGTAGTATTTGCCTCGATACCATGTCATCACCTGGTTACCAAGTGACCAGAAAATGGCCAGTATCAAAAGCTGCACCAAGTCTTAATTTTCCCCCCCAAATTTATCAGCTTATCTGTGTTTGTTTTGACCAGAAGTAGAAAGAATTTCGGTCATTTTTGCGCCTAAAAAAATGAATCCAAAGCTCCGGTCACAGTTAACTTGAACAAACGAGCTGTTGATGAATTGAGAGCTGTTTCTACGTTAGGTTCAGTCACCATAACAACAAAGGTGTTTACATTTTGTCATGTTTAGGTCTATTAATCTCAAGAAGTTAAAAGCCTGCTTTTGATAATAAAATATCAACCTGTGACTTCATACCTATTAATGTYCTTTGCCATTAACCTGAATTAGCCTTGGGTAGTTCTTAGTGGTCAGCGCTAATGATTACGGTTATTTTACGAACTAAGTTTTTCCTTAAACGAAAYGAGACGAGGAAGCTTTTCGAATGARTGACGTAAAATACTACGTAATTGAAAACTGTTTTTAAAATTTCAAATAGGTTGAAGACTAAACTATAGCCCTAGTGAAAATATTTTCAGAAGCGGGTTTGATTATGATTTGAGGATGGTTATGGTATATTGTAGTAAACACGTGGGTTAATTGCATTATGGAAATAAATAATTATCATTGATACCATCCATCCATCCATCCGTCCGTCCGTCCGTCCGTCCGTCCGTCCGTCGTCCATCCATCCATCCATACATGAGACGAGAACCTTAGGACCCATCCTAGATGCGCCCCTGAACATTTAGTCTACATTTAGTCGGTAAAATGGTTAGAATATATGGAACGTGGTCATTGATATAACTGCTCTGCAGTAGACGTAATGTGGGTACATAATAAATTAAGTCTTCCAATTGACTTGGGAGATATCACGTGCGTTGAATTACTCCATTTAGTCCATTAGCTAGGAGGGTTGATGTGTTACGTGGGCGAATGGTTAACCCAATTATTGTCCACGTGTTTTAGCCATCAAATTTATAGTTGCCATGTTTCGAGTAAAGCTCTACCAAGATCCTAAATATCATCCTTCAAAGTAGTTCCATTAAATTTGATGAATGAAATTGAAAAATTGAAAAAGAAAAATCTTAAAAACCCATAATTTCCAATCTCGTTCCCAAATTCTGCGGTGTTCAGCTCCCGAGAAAGGGGGCTGGACATTGGGTGCGACTTGTCCCCAGCCCCTTTGAAGTATTTTTTAGCTTCTCATTCCCACGTGTGCCCTTACATGCATCAAGAGTTCCGCGCTACTGCTCTAAGCGCACGCTCAAGGGGTAAATAAAAGGTGGGATCATGGATTGTAAAAATAGCCATATTTAATTGATTTTATCATCAAACATAATTTTCATTGAATGTATATTCAAAAGCAAATAGCGTGAGCGTTAAGCTAATTTTAAATAGAATATAACAAAACATAGCAGTTTTTACATCTTGCACATACGCTTAGAGTAGTAGTGCGAAACTCTTGTTAAAAGTTTGTTAATTGTCACCCTTGCTGTCATCCCTGTATCCTGTCCTATCCCTTTACCGTGGTTTTGGTCTCACATGAGCGCGGGCAATCATGATCAAGCAATATCTGGCTGATGATTTTTTTGCTGCACCGCTAACTCACAGATCGAGTTGGAATTTAGCGTGTTAGGTTTTGCGGATGGAGGGTGGAAAACCAGAGAACCCTGCAAACCGAGAGACCTAACAAACTCTACTCACACGTAGAGGTGAGAGGTGAGAGGCGAGTGGACGTCGACTACCACTACACCATRCACTCTCAGCTCTTGATTCCCATCTTGTCATTCACCATTTATAGTGTCTCTGTATCCTATGGTTCATCAGAAAGAATTTTTTTATTTKGCCCTTCACGTGTATATTGAAGAAGTAGAAAACGCGCTCGCGTGCTGTGTGCAGTTATAAAGCACGCGGAGTTGGCAGAACACGAGAGAAGTGTTASGAGAAGCACGAAGCGTAGCAGATTGCTTCTMGACACTTCCCGKATGYTCWGCCACTCCCCAAGTGCTTTATRACTGCACACAGCACAGCAAGCAAGTTTTTTATTTCTTTTATAAAATACAATTTTCAGCAACCGTTATTTTGGATAGGAATGAYACCAATGAAAATGCACGCGCGTGCTTTGTACTCTCATAAAGCAMGCACTCCCAACCAATCAGAATGCGAGATTGATAACAGTTATTTTATAATGAGAGATGGTATCCGGCATCTTTTATCTTGACTCTTTTTCCTGACCCATGCTGCGGTCAATACCACAACAGCTACGTACCGAAACTCACCTAGGTCCAAATATTACACACTCTTTTTATTACGACTGGCATAAATCTAGAAATATTGAGACATAATCTAAGAATATTGGCCAACAAATATCCAGGAACGTGCAGTCATGGCATTTTGTAAAATATCTCACGCGCCAATGCTTAGCCAAATYATTTTACTATTTTTTAAATTGTGTCAAAAGAAACGTGTAAACTGTCATAAGCSCTGGATGATGGGCGCCTGGGAAGCAGTTGCTATGTTTGGATCGATCACGTTAATTACCGTTGCAGGGATCCAAGTTGTTTTATGGTTTCAGTTCAGAAATCGATTTAAATTTATACGTCGAAACAGAAAACGTATTTTTTTATGTTCTTTGATATAGATTATGATGGTGATGGTGTCAAAAATGCTGTTGCTTCTGATAATGGTCATGTTGATGCTCACGCGATGATTGTGTTATAGATGGCTTTGTAGATGTTGGTATAGATGATGATGATCATGGCGGTAATGATGGTGGTGGTAGTGGTTGTAGTGGTAATGATGATAATGATGACGATGCGTTTTTGTTTTTGCCGTCTTGCTG